CCGGTCGATCGACAGAAACGACGTGTGTTTCGACATCAGCCGGAAGCGGCTCAGTGTCCAACACTTTCCCCCTGAATACAGCACTTGGAATCGGTCACCTGCCAAGCCGTACACCCTCTTCAAAACCGAATTCACCAACACCACCGACCGAGAGCAGGTAAATTAAAACTAACGTCTTTACTGTACTGTACTACTTCCAAGCTTGCATGCGCGCTATTTTCGAATATACCCTAGAGAATTTAGACAGTAACACTGTTTCTTTGTAAGCACGTGATTGTAAGGATAAATGCTCAGGCCGTCAGATCTGGTTCCAAGGATCCATCTGCATCAGAAGATTCGATATTGTCTGTTTTGTGGTGGAAGTTCCATAAGCTCTGTATAAAGTGTATGCAACATGGCGTGAAACGTCGGCATATCTTTGTCTTTGCCTTGAGTTCATTATACTGTTCAGTCTAGCGTTCAGAAATGAGATGTCCGATGAATAAGTACCAGACATTAACTCCTCCGAAATCAGATCTCAAGGCAAGTCCTACATTCTTTTAGCTCCGGTACAACTATGACGGCGTTTCATCACGGCACAACTTTGCGGCATTATGCAGTATGTTTCATTTTATTCCTTAGAATAGTGTCCTTCTTATGAAGTTTTAGGATCTGACTTCTCCCGTACAAGATATCATATTCAGTTGTGAGGGTGTACTATAGCGCTCATAATTTCGTATCTGCCTCTACGGGTGCATGTTCGGTTCGTGTGATGTGAAGGATGTTCCTGTAACGTTCATATCTCTCCGGTCTCGTTTATGTTTTGTTAGGCACCTTGTGGATCTCCTCTTTGGTATAGTGCTGAAGTCGTAATACTGCGTTCGGAACTAGACGGTGTGACACAACTGCTTCACCTTTCTGTCTTGAAACATATCTAGGAATGTGATCTTGAATCCTTCTGTTCAGATCTGGAAACAGCGTTTCTTTATCCTTCGCAAATTCACCTCATGCAACGGGTCTGATACTCTGAATGTTCAGTGTTTCACTGTTTCACCGACCTACTGTTATCAAGGTTCAAAACGGATCAGGTCAACCACCATTGAGGTGACGGAAAATAGAGTTACCGTATTTTACCTTCACCGCGACCCTTTAACCTGGCCTTTGCTCCCGCTTTCATAAGCGAATATCGAAATTTACTTGCCGGACATTCGTAATCCGTAACAAGTGCCCGGTGGCAAAATGGCAAGGGCCTCAAACTCTTGAGGTGCCGAGTTAGAATCCTAAAAAGGGCTAAATCTGCCTTAACCGGAAATTCCTTTGAACTAAGAATTTATCCGTGTAGTTAACCAAGAAACGAGCTGCAAGTCGCCGATTTGCAAGTGGCACGACAACGTAACGTTCCGGTATGGTTATACCAGTGAAATTTGAGCAACCCCTATGGCAGCCTTTCGCTTTTACCATCTAGATAGCTGTTTATTCAATGTAATATTGAACAGGGGCCATAACTCATGATGTTGCAGATGTTTCTGTAACTCATACTAATAGTGGTTCACTGCAATTCTCAATGTTATTTGTTGTTTGCCTGTTTTAGATTCGAAGTAGCCGAAGATATAGAAAAATTGAAAATGATTATTTTCTTTATTACGTCTACACTGTATGTGTTGAATTAATGCCATTCTCGGTCTTTTTGTCCTGCAGACCTAATCAGTAAATGATATCTTTTATTTGTTCAATTTTGCTTAACTAATTGTGCATGATCCAGACTGCTTGGATAAAATACTCGCAGTCTAAAAGTTTATGCGTACTGGTAGAAAGTTCAGATTGAAGTTCGGTGTAAACATTCTCTCTTCTTCTGTATTTAACCGCATAAATACTGTGCAAATAAACCATTAATGATGTTATGTGTCAAAGGATGTGACCTCGCGCGATACTTTTCCAAATTGTACGTCATTGGATAAAGTTTTTTTATGGCAACCCTGGTCAGGGTGATTTGCCTTTGTTCCAACTGAGGTTGATAAATAAGTAAATAAGTAGTAAATCATAAATAGGTTCCAGGAAAATCAGTGGGAGGAAACAGGAAACGATATACTATGTTTTCTACATAACTACTATCTACTCTACTTCGTTTTTTGACGTTGTAATTTGCATTTAGGTCTATTCATTTAAGACCGAAAGGTCTACTGAATCTATTTGTTCCGTCACTCGCGAACAAGGTTTCAATATTGGCGAAGAAGCCGAGTTGACCTTGAAGACGCCATGCGAAATCCTGGAGTTCAAAGCTGGCTTTAAGCATGAAATCCAAGTCCTGAAAGCTGAAGAAACAGCGACGTGCGAAATGCTGGCTTGGGGAGTTGACAGCAGCGTCGCCGTTCCGGCCCATTATCGAACGACTGCCGAACTCGTCGTTGAAGAGTTGAGCTACCACGGAAGCTTTAAGGTATGCACTCGTATAAACTCTTCCTTACAGTCCTTTGATTTTTCCGTATATCCTGGTTCTTTGACGCACCATGCATTTCTTTGGCAATTCCTTTTTCGTGCTCATTGCTGCACTTTAGAGAATACATACTGAGCAGACAGAGTCCATAGTATCAAAAGGTTTTAATATTCCGAGAGTCTTTCACTTGCTAGTCGTTCCTCAGCTAGTTGTGCAGATGCTCAACGCAATAAATTCCTTCTCAGTGGAATTCAAACTAAATTTGAAGCAGGCGGCTATCATTCTGAGCAATTATCTGTTCGACCTATGAACGAAATACTAACTGGCCTTCTCGTATAACATTTGGTGTCAGCCTTGAGCAGGGAGTATATTCAACCTTTGTTATTCTACACTTCAGTTACGGATTCCAGATATACACGGTCAAACGGTACCTCCTGCTTGCTTCTAATAGCCTCATGGTACCATATCGCTGCTCTGGCGTTTCAGCATCTAACCTGCATGGATGGATCGCGTGGATTTATCGCATTTCTGAGTTGGCCTGACTACAGACGTGTTCTATCGCCAATAAAATTTGCCACTATCGGTTCGCAAATATATAGACAAAGTAAGACAAAAATATAGCCTGAATAATGTGGTGTAACTACCACCAATTTCCGATAACCGGTATCAGTAGTATAAATTTATTATTTGCCGGTGGATTTGGAATGCGTCATTCTTTGTCGTTCTCGACCAGTCGGTCGATCAAGTACTAGCTGTTTCGCCTTCCTTCTGATGGATGCATTCACTAAACGTTCCCTAATGATCGTACTGTAGCTTCTGAATCTGAAGAAGCAGCGGCAGCGGTTGCATATCAATACTTTATGGGATAACTGAAATCTGAACCCTGTTGAGATTGTGTACGGATGTAGTGATTCATCCCAGAAATCCCATTTCAGCCTCTTTTATCCGAGATCGAAGTTTTTCAGCCAAGGACCATGACCATCGGAGAGCATTGGAATGAACGTCGACTTAAGCATAGGCAGTTTCTTCTTCAGACTCCACTTTTTCTTTGCCACAGCGGTTCAGGGCAGTTCAAAAACACCGCTCTTATCCCGATTACCAGGATGATCTCTTCCTCACATTTTCCATCACTAATAAACATGACGTCGAGGAACGTGAATTTCTCCATTTATTCCACCTCTGCCACATTTATTTTTTTTTGCTCCCGATGCTGCGGGTAGTGGAAAGAGAAGAGTCTAGACTTTAAGTTTAAAAATTTGCAACTGAAGAGGGAAATATTTGCCTCTACGATATGGAAGGTTGTTAAATATATTGTTTAATTACATGAGAGATTAGTTCTTTTTTTCACAGTTCTCCCAGTAAAAGTTTGAACGTACTGCATATGGGACTACGTAGTAATATATATTGGAGTACTAATGAACAAGTCTTTAAAGTCATGGCAGATCATAATATTCCTTACGGTGAGTTCACGCTTCAGTTCGTTACAGAACTCACAACTTTTGATGCATGAATTGTTTCCTCCTTTTAAATATCTGACTGTTTTCTTTGTCTGTTAAAAAGAACAAAAGTATGGTTTGTGTTGTTGTAGTATTTTGACTACATTGTAAAACAGTTCACAAACAACCTTTAGCAAAAATGCTGTATGTCACTTTAATAAAATGATTAATTTAGGTCGTCAGCCAGCTCGCTGGTCGGGTAATTATATCAATACGAAGACGACGAGACGGAGAGCTGATCATGGCAATAACAGCGAACGTTGTAGAGATCTTTCATAACATGACAAGACCCGGTAAGAGTCTTCAGAAAGAGAGTCGAGACATGATCATGATGGAAAGCAACTGTGTGAAGCTTGTATCGCAGGGAAAATGTGACTTTCAGTTTGCCATCAAACAGGAGGTTACCCTTTCTGAAGAAAAGCTTTCGTGCAGCGGTCGATTGAGAAACACGGCGAATTACCTCTGATTGTTGCCGCTATAAGTTATAGCTGCTGTTGTTTTGTTTTGTCGTTGTTTACGGAAGTT